TTTTTTTTTTTTTTTTTTTTTTTGTATCCTAAGGCTGTCATGACCTTAGTAAATATTAATGCCCATGGTTATGGCTTGTTTGGAACAATATGGCTTATTAATTGAATTATGTTATAAATTCCTTGTTACATTAATGTTCCTTATAATGATTGGATGTGTATGTTGCCCCTGATATGTGTTCTTATTTTATTGTTTGTTGAGTATAATTGTATAAAATAAAAATGTTAGAAGATAGCTTCTACGACTACTCTGATCCAACTACAATTGGGAGCAGGAACCTGGGAACTTGATCACACTGCTGGAGTGTTTCACTTCTTGACGTTGGTTGTTGTATTATCCCCGATTTTTCTCGCCGTGTCTAGTGGATATATTTATTTTTGTTGCTCGTTATGCATCTAACGGGGGATATTTTGTCATGTATATTTTCTTTTTCTTTTGCAACAAGTTTGACATTATATGTAATCTAACCGGTTACTTATATCGGGTAGGTATGGCTTGCCTTAGTATATTTGGACATCGAGTCTTTGCTTATATAATGGTTACTCAATAAATTTTATCTTGATTAATTTCATTTTTTTTTTTAATTTGTTAACTGCTTTTGACATTATATTAAAAGAAAATGAGGGACAAGTTCATGCTATATCCACATATCTTTCTTTTCTTCATGTAAGTGGAGTCAGGAGTGTCACTTGAATGGCCATACAAAGTAAATGTAGTAATTGTGTTACATTGATTTTCACTTTGATGAAAATGAAGAAAAAGAGCTAGGCATGGATGACATGCTTGAGGTTGCATTATCAAGATTAGAAGTTTGGGATTGACAATGATATATGGTACATCATATTGAAAGCATAAAACATAACAGTTGGTTAAGCATATGATGGCAATTCCAAGTGAAGTAGAGTGAAGTTCTCCACTCCTTGAACCGCTAAACTTGATCACTTCCTTGAGGCAATTCGAATGGTGATCCAATTACAGATGAAGGAAGATTTGAATGAAGAAAGATGAAGAGAAAGGAAACCTGAAGCACTTGAGCCAAGGGAGCAAATGATTGCTCACAAGTGTTTGACCTAATTCCTAGAAGGAGACTCTAGGAGCTTGCTCGACCAAAGGTGACTTTGAAGGGAGAGAATGCTGAACAATTTTCAGATATCTCATAAAATGATCAAAGTGACTACAATTTGGAAGGAAGCATGCATACATAGGTCATGGAATCAATGGAATTGGCGCCACATTCAAGTGCACATGTTGGCACCAATTTTGAATTCAAATTTTGAAATTTGAATTCAAATGGCACGTCCAAGCCATGTCACCTATGTGGCCGTCCCCTTCTAGATGTTTAATTATATTTAAGATGTATTTAGGGTTGATTTGTTTAGTCACATGTGCAATCACCCTTGGTACAAAACATGTGACTCAAACGCAATTCTAATGACTCTTAAATGTAATTAACATCTTAACATCCATACCTAATATGTCTCCTTTAAATTCCTAATCTAATAGCCTAAATACAATGGCCAATCAAATACAATATAAAGGAAAAATTACAAGGATTAAAATGAGCTCAATATTGGGTACTAAAAGCCCAAAAAGCCCATAGAGTCTAAAACTAGGCCCAATAAACCTAAAGCCCAACAAGTCATAAACTAAGGTCTATAATACAAGACCAAACAATATGAATTCTTATACTACCAATAATATAATAAAAGGTGGTCAATCATGTAAAGCCCAAGTGAAAAGAACCCTAGGCCCACCAAGCCCATTGAGCCCACTAAGCTCTGAAACAGTCAAATCTTCTAGTAATCTTCTGGCCATAGCTCTAGTGGTTGGACCCTTGGTCCATGCTCTTCCATCAGGATATAGGTTTAAATATGGTCCATAGTGTGCGTTACTGAACTTACTAACAGTCTTAAACAAATATGGTCCATAGTGTGCGTTACTGAACTTACTAACAGTCTTAAACAAATATGGTCCATAGTGTGCGTTACTGAACTTACTAATAGTCTTAACTAGTGACGGATCTAGAAACTTTAGATAGTAGGGGCAATATTTATTTATATATTTGTAATATTAAAAATTTTACATATAACTTTTAAAAATATAAATATATCATAAATATTTTTTACAAACTTTTATATCTACGATTACAATTAAAGAAAAATAAATTAGGTCAAACTAGATTATATTATAATTTAGTAGGTTTGAACCTAATTTTTTTTTTTAAAATTCTTATCCTAAATATGACTTATTTATTTATCATAAACATTTTTTAAATGTTTGGTTAGAAATACAATTCTAAAGACCCACTTTATAATAATTTAACACTAATAAAAACATAAAAATAAATATGTTAAATTTTATAAAAATCAAGTTTAATTTATTTATGATAACTTATTTGAAAATATATTTTATATTAAAAATTCTAAATAGAACATAAATCTTTCAATAGTTTTTTTTTAATTTTTTTAATTAACGTATACAATAAATAAAAAATTACAAAAGATAAACATGTATGTTACAAATTTTATTTTATCAAAAATTAATTTTTTTAATAAT